TCACCTAAGCTCAAATAACGGTCAAACCGTAACAAATATGTACATCAGACAGGTTATAGCCTGTCTACGGTTCGTATCTGGGGTGTAGATGGTTGATTTCGTTGAGTTGTGCAGTCGTGAAATCTCTGCAAGTCGGATTTTCGACCAAAAATGAGCCAACATCACTCCTCCCGATCGCCAACTCGACGAAAACTCTCAAATCCACCCTTTGTCGTGACTGAATCTCGGCTCTGGAAGAATATTTCACTCCCAGGTTCGTAGAGGACACCACTGACAGGTGTTCAGCCTTCGTCCTCCCTTCTTCTCCGCATGTGCAGGTTAGAATGGCGTTTTCATGCTGAAACCGTCGGTGGTAGTCCGCGAAGTCGCCATGACCGGACCGTGAAACTAGTAGATATCCTAATGCGCGTCGCTCCAGGGATGGGTATATATTGTCAAGGGATGGAGTGGATGGCGGTATCGTACGGGCACGTGCTATCACGCGTCCGATGCGCGATTCACGATGTGTATATATTTATAAGACCTAATAGGGGTAACTTTTCCTCTTCGAAGACAATCTTAATCTCCAGATTAGACCTCTTCAATCTATCCTATGACCTTTACCCTGACATATATCACCAAGTCTTGAGAGGAGTAGAGCAGAAATTTCATCCGTACACTTTTACTTAGCAAAAGAAAAATGGTACATCGGAGACTGCTTCCACGGAAAAGGGTCTCAAGAACCTGTACCCCCAGCCAGGCGAAGCCTAGACACAGGGACCACATGAGGTGCGCATATTCATCTGTATCCCCCTTCTTTGTAACATTAGAGGCCGAGTTGATCCAATATACCATCTCTGTATTGGGTGCTTGTTACGCTCCGGAAACTCATACGATGGCTTCTGATCCAAGACCAAGGATGGATGACGGGTAGAGCTTCAATCCTGCCATTTACTCTGATCGTGGTTCGATTCAGCTTCATGATAATGGCGCTAAGGGTTGTGCTGTGTCACGGGACTAAGAGCTAGCGCCGTACACTAGGACATTAGTATAGATTCCTCCTGCAGATAATCTTCTATCATTATTGCACAACGCAGTTATATTATTAAACCACCAGAACCTGACCCGTGACTCATCGTGACTTGCTGAGAAATGAAGATGATACAGACCGCGGAAACAATAGGTAATTCTCACAATGTGAAGATGAAGGTCTTACTCAATCCCGGATCTGCAGACTACTCAGTGAGAGTTGCAGGTTCGTAGGTTCGTAGGTGATACCACTGACAGGTGTTCAGTTTTTATCCCCCCGAACTTCTAGATTATACCCTCCCAATCTTGAGTTCTCCAATCCAACTCCAAAGCTTGAACGGCACATCATCTCTCCTATATTTCCTCTCAGGCTTAATTTCTTCATTGAATTATTAGCGAAGAATAGTTACGTACAATATTATGCTGTAAAGATTATTTCACGTGAATTAAGGCTATCAGTATTAAAGAGGTAGGAGGACAAACTACTCGGTTTTTCGGGATACTAATAGAAGTCAATTGGATTGACTCTACAAAGCCGAACTGGAGAATGGAGTCTGAAAATCTATCTGATTTTCATATTAAAACAACAGACAACCTTGATTATCTCGAATCTTCACACAAGATCTTTACTAACTAAATTATCTCATGACCTACCGAAGCTATCCATAATTCAGAGGTCATACTAGCTTTATAAGATACAAGAAGATATCCATATCTTCACAAATTTCGTGCGCTTTGAAGGTATTGTTGAGGTACCGGCCTCAAATTCATATACAACCCGACCTACGACGAAGCGACACCGACAATACACGTACGAAATTTCGCCGGCACATCAACTGGAATATTCGACAAAAACTAAGGCATCGGAGCCTCGATTTTGAGCTCTTCGATAAATGTTCGGCCTCCGTGTTTAGGAGTACGTCAGCGACGTGGAAAGGCCTGAGAGATGTAGCGTATACAGAGATTCTGAGATTGCGTTTATAACTGAAAGAATAAGGAGCTATAATAGAGGAATAAAAGGAAAACTGAAGACGCCTCAGTGGGTGATTGGATGAGGTCTATGATGAAGAAAACAACCTCTGGATGAGATGTGGAGATGCTGGGACGAGTCAAGGCTGGAACTGATCGGAAAGTATGAATTTGACTTTGGCAGGGTGTCGGGGGCTTGGGCGCGTGTTGGCAGAGTCTGAGGAGAAGACTGTGCTTCAGGGCGTCATAATCTGGTTCTCTGGACGGTAGCACTTGACATGTTCAATAGATTGGTGAAGTCTGAGGTGATCCAGTAATCCAGGTGGAACGAGATATTTGTACTTAACGGTAGTTAACCTGATCCAGCCTGGCCGCACTCGTGCTCTAGCTCGCATATGAGAGTGGAAGGTATCAATTGCCTAGCACATTAAGATACCGAAAGCGTCTTTTGTCTCAGTAGGGACTTAATAGGGTTACTCGCTTGACGATTGATCCGCCAGACGTTAAATAAAGATAAATAAAATTAAGATACCGAAAAACAAATATGGCTTAGTAACTCTTATTAAGAAGTAGATTTATTTGGTCGAAAAGTTAGCAAGACAGAGTGGTTGAAGCCAACACCCTGATGTGGGGGAGTTTCACTTTGCGCACTAAAAGTTGCCAACCTCTCTGAGAACACAAGATCGAAGAATTTAACAATTCAGTACGTGTCAGCTCTAAGCGTACCATTCAAAGCAAGTCAAGAACTGTCGGTCTCTGTAAAAAAGTTTTTACAATAGAAAAAAGGACCTGTGAAGTGGAGGGAGCTACATATCTGTTGGTGAATATTAAATACTCCTGACATGAAACATCTACATGAGGAGGACAAAGACTCAACACAGAGTAGCAAAGGTCGCAAAGAAAGCATGGGAGGGGACGCGTGATACGGGCTACAGATACTCCATGTCGATGGCCAATAAGAACTTACATGACATGTAAATTCTAAGACTGAAAAATGACTATAATGATTAAAATATAGAATATAAAAATACAGTGTAAATCCATTCCAGCTCATATAAGCTGTGACTGATTGTGCTTATGTCTTGTGCTGGACTTGTGACTATTTGTACGTTATTTGGTGACCTATGGGCCCATTCGGCCGCTCATAAACTCTTTCGACATATTGACCCAAGATGAATCCCCTCGGTGAAACCTACTAACGTGTTAATTATATGTCTTTTGAATTACTACTGTTGCTTCAGAAACGCAGTCATATAATAGTACCATCTGCGTGTGCCAGCCACATCTTCGGTACCGACCTGAAGTTGTGATAGTCCAGTTTCTTTCCCCCACCAACATTTCGAGCGCCTTATCATCTCGAATTGCCTTATCAAACCACTGTCTAAAATCTACCACGTAATCCTTTAAATATGAACAGGACCGTTCGTTATTTCTTTCAGAAGGCTGATCTTGAACTTCTACTCAGACCTTTACTCTACCATTTGACCATCGAGGACAGAATATGATCGTGTGCTTGGGGCCCTATTTTTGACAGCCATATGGACAGCTTAGGCTGTAGACTCCTGATATTTTTCTTCTATATAAATGTACTTTACGAGAAACATTTCCTCCTAGAACTTGCATTGATAGACTCTTTTGGGCCCTTGCCAGGTTTCGGTGAAGAGTAGATGGCGTTTCCTGAAGACTCATTTTTTGTCTTCAAGAATTTCAACTTCTATGAAACTTCGCTTCACTGTAGATTTCAGGATCTTCAGTTACCAGTTCTCGAGCCTGCTGAATTCGCCTTTGATTGTACCAGGGACTCGCCCATCCTTTGTATTCTGCGACGTTACCGTCTCTTTCGGCAGCATTTTGTATTTTTCCCCCACAAATTTCTCATCCAGTGGACCAGATCTACCGTCCTGTTTTTTGTTTAAACATTTTCTATCTTAAGCTAGGCGGCTTAATCTTACGACTCGTAGGTTAAAAAGAATTTTGACCGGTGAGTTCTTTAAAAGGCTAACTTGTTGAGCTATTTATTGCTTAGGGTGTATTTCTATTGGTAAGGTAACAGTTTCGTATTCTAGAGCGTCATGATATTATTACTGTTTACATCTTTACTGTCCAGTTGAGTTTCTAAATATATCAGGATATACATGTATTTTCTACTTTGAGGCCAGAAATATCTATGCCTTCTTCGCGGCTTCCGTCTAAAGGTACTCACGTAGAGGTCTTGAAGTGACTAACTTCTTGGGGGAACAATTATTTTCGTATTCTCTTACCTCTAATTTCAAGCAAACGATGGCTACTTGCGGGTGTTAAGCTGTAGAGACATCAGGAGGTATTGAGTGTGAAGCTCCCTAAATACCTATATCAAGATTTGATTCCAAGATAGAGCTGATCTTCTGAAGCGCTCAAAGAGTCCAGCCCCTCAATTTTTTAGTGTTCAGAGGGCGATATCCGCTACGTATCTAGTCTCATTCTGCTTATTTAACTGTTTCGCGCCTGGGGAATAAACATAGGCAGTGTGAAAATCTTCAAGCCTTCGATAGAGTATGCGCTAATAGACTGTCCTGCCTGTCAGAGGTATCGTCTTTGGTGTTGATGACTACCCTAAAGTTATCGGGACAATTATGCACCCTAGTTCATAAGGCTCTAAAATGATGGCTGGGTACACTTAGGAGACTGTGCTAACATGTGTTGAGCCCTTGCCCCACTATCCTTTCTAAGATTTGTCCCTTTGAGTCGGTGTGCATGTCCAGTGCGATGAGAAGCCTGGACCTTGACCTAATAATGGCATATCGCTTAACTGACTAATCTTGGCTTAGGCTAAGGGCTTGTGTCCCGCACTAGGTGAAGGCCCTCATTTAAATACATAAATAATAGAATCTCATGTATGCCCCCACCGCTAATTCCTACCCTGGCGATCTTTTATGAGCATCATTCGAGACACAACATAACATTTTCGCAGTATCATTGGTATAGCATATTATAGAAATCTAATAATTTATCTTTATTAGTATCTGCTAATTCAATTATCGAAGATGCCACTGTCAGCTTTAATGATGACCATTCTAGAGCAGGCCAAAGAAGTAAAACAAATTAGCTCAAAATTCCATATCATGACTGACTTCTGACAGCCTCTACTCTGTCTTCACGGAGCAGGTTATTTTACCGAGGTGGAATGGATGCAGTTGGATCTAATCATTAACAAGAAGTACATATGGACTACTGGCCCATCTACTCAGATTGCAACGCCGAACTCTATTTCTTATGATGTGAAACGTATTAATAAGCCTCAAAGAGAGGCACGTCAACATGTTCCTGATTTTGATGGCGACAAAATTAGTTCCGGCCCTGAAGAAACCTCGGTGTGTACATCTGTGGAGCCACTCTCAGACGAAGTTGTTACACCAGCTGCATCGATGGATACACCTTGGGAACTTTCGCCTGCAATGGCCTCACCGGCACCAACGACCAAGCAGTCCATAACCAAATTGAACGGTCATACAAAGGCCACTACCGAAGGTGTACTTGCTTCAGGATACACTGTGTCCCAGCTACTTGAAGCTAGAAAATTAAAAGCTAGTTTTGCAAATAACTCGTTGCGCGACCCTCGACTAGATCACCATCAAGGAAATAATAGTGTCCTAGCCAAACCATCTCCAATCCCCAATACATTACGAAATAAAAACGTTTCCTCTTGGGCATCCCAAGTGAGTCAAGGTCCTCTGATCAGATCGGCCAAACGCCCGGATTCCCGAGCCTCCGAGATATCGGAGCTCAGTGGACAATACTTCAAGCCTCCAATTTATGAACCTCGTGAAATAATTCAGAATAGCTATGCTGGCGATGTTAATGTTTTCGAGACCAGCAATGCCGCAGAATGGGATGAAGACCTCCCTGTTCCAAATGGAAAGCCTGCAGATAAAAAAATTCCTGTCTTTGCTGAAGAAAAACTTGAAAAGATCAATCCTGTTCCACCGCAAAATTTATCTATTGTTCCATCACAGATTAAAAAAGACCGAGGACCTCATGAATTGCCATATCCTGCTAATGTTACCATTCAAGGGAGTAAAGTTACCAAAAAAGTGAATGATATTTTACCTGTACCACCCCTTCCTCGTATTGGCATCCGTCAAACAACTAGAACAGCAACTGCATCCCGATCTATTCGCCGTAAGGATCCCAAAGAGCCCAAGTCAAGCAAAGAACAATATATATCTCCACTTCCGAAAACCCTAACTTGCTGGTTCTGGGCGGAATCTGTTGGTGGCTGTCGCTACAGACCTGAAGAGTGCTTGAACTTGCACGTGAAGCCAGAACCAGGTGTTTTGCCAAATTACCCACTAAAGGATGGTAAACCGACATGGGGTAGTCTTGCAGACGCAGTCCCTCAAGAAGTACCTGCAGGTAAAAAGCCGCGGTGCTGTTGGTTTTGGGCAACAAAAGGATCTTGTGATAAAGGGGAAACCTGTGAATACGTCCATGGGTGGGTAACTGGCGGAGTAGCTGCGCGTCCGAAAAATTGGGAATGTGCCAAACTCTTTCCACGCCTCGCTGGTGAGGTAGAGGGTGATGAGAGCAGCGTCAGCCATATCGAAGAAGTTCTTGAAAGGGCTGAAAGAGATATAGGTGATAAAGCTCCGCCGCAAGCGGTGAATATTGATCCAAGTTATATCGCCAGTTTGATACACGCACCAGATTGGTTCAATTCAACATGTTAAGATCTATGATGTCGGGATATAACAAAAATATTGAAATTTAAAGTTAGCGTACACGAGAGGGAATGTGATAGGAAAATGGTAATTTAAGATCTATCTAGCACGTGACGCGCGATAATATAGAGAACTGTATCTAACACTAGATGGCATCATCAATGAAGCTTTATGACGAATTAACCACTTTCTGTTACTAGGTATCATTGATAGGGAGCCAGCACATATTTTAGACATCAACTACGCGGAGGACCATTGACCAGGTTTGAAATCTTTTTATCTAGGGTTTTAATTATTTCTGAAAGCACATTGCAAGTAGCTTTAAAGGCAGTAGTTTTATTATAGCTTCATGCGTCTGTCTTATATAGGCTAAACCCCAAGCAATCTCATTGTAGATATAGTTCTCACTCAAAACTAGCAGGAGTTCAACTTCACGCTATCTAACTTGGCTTTTAGGGGCATCTTTACACATTGGGATCAAACTTATGGCTTTCTCCATACTGGGAGATGTGCGAAGCTTAAAGTATATGGTATCCAAATATCTGCAGCTACAGTTTAGCTATTGTAATTGAGCTCTATTCTTGTTTCCACCATATAGTTATCAGTTAGCCTATTGATTTATTATAATGGACGGCCCGTAAAACCTAACTCTTGAAATATAGGTTATTCTAATTTGACCTTGCTTGAACTAGGCATTGGGATAGATTTATCATTCTCTAATCTGTTTCTGCTTAGAAACTCTAGCCTGGACCATGAATCAATAATATTATTTGGGTCTGTGTACTAGATCTGTTATGGCTATCTGATATATAAAAGGAGATATCTATCTTCAAAACAATAGCGACTCAATACTCCGAACTGGGTGGGATATGTCTTCCTAGTAATATTTGAATATTTTTAGCTTCCTTTTAAGCAATTGCATAAATTACTGCTCGTATGTGGGCATAACCATTTATACTACCAGACTCAAAGATGAATATTAACCCTATTGCCTTGAGATAACGAAATCTAACAGTCTTGGATCTAGAGACTACTCACACAGTAGACGAAGATAAATCTCACCACAAGATTACTGCAAATTAATTAGGAAAGCTTGACGGCAGTAGATGTATACTCAGCTAACTATGACAAATGACCCGCGTCTAATGTATACTTTGAGTCTTTCGAATGGAAAGATACTCGAACCCTGTGTTATCAAGGCATAACTGTGACCTAAATCTATAGCTTTCAGTCTGGCGAATTAGGTTATCTTCGAGAGGTTGGGTATCTATCGAGATCCAAAACGAAGCTTACGCAGACGATAGTTACACTGGCCAAGAAAGCGAACATTATGGTACCAAGTGTTACAGAAACGTCGGAGATATTGTAAACCTAGCGTTAGGCTGGCTGTCAAGTCTCTGTCTACGCATTCCCAGATTTAACCCTTCATTTTTATTCGCACTAGCTTTCGCGTCGCATGCACACCTTGATTTGACCTTGGCTGGATTTACGTAATTAATGGCTTATTGTTCGTGACGCGCATAAGCCTAGCACTTAGAGAACATGACACTAAGAAGGCTGGTCTTTCCCCGACGTCTATTTACGAAGATAACTCAACTTGACATTTGGACCACTCATGTAGTGGATGCATTCGCTAATACCAATCGCGACCTTTGTGCTAAGAGCTTTCGCTCTTCCCTCAAATGTTCACATCCGCCAAAGGGAAAACAGGAAAACCCCTTGGCTACCCTGATATGCCTTTGCCGTCTTGTATACAGCCACGGCGCGAGATCTGGCTTGCCCATGGCTAAGTCGCAGTGGATCAACTAGATGCCAAGGCCAACCAATATTCTGATTATACTGCCGCATTTAGGCATCGGCGCCTATTTCAGTCACTATCTTTGAGCATCCGCCTCAGCGTGAATCTTGTTTTTACTTCGTGTCGCGTTGAGCCTGTCATTACAAGGCGTGTGGGTAATTTTTGCCTGAGGCTTCAAGTACCTATGTCTTATTCACGTCTTCGGACCAGAAGAATAAACTCACAGGGGTTATCCAAGTAGAGACTTAGAGGAACTGCTTTCCTGTTGTTATCTCCTCTTTCCACTCGGCAAGACGAAAGCCATAATTTTTGGTCAATTTATGCGCATTCAGCTATGTGGCCATGGCGCATAATGAGTTCTTGGAAACATGTTGGATGATTATCTCGCCTTTGGAGATACCCATACCCCTAGTTTCATCGGCAAATGCCACAACGACATGTGTTTGCTGACACAGAATAGTCGATCCTCCACCTTGAATATGCACAGGAGGAAACTTCAAAGTATTTGGTTATCCAAGCATGCCCTCATCATCCATGCACACGAGCAGCGCGAAAAATGTGATAAGGCCCTGCTTGATTCTAATCGGCCATCTTCTGTCTCAAGTGGGGCTCAGAGGGAATGTGGGACGTTGGGTATGGTCACATAGTTTGCCGAGGTCATTGATTGAAAAGGGATGCTCAATCTTATCATGTCAGTGCAGGCTTGACCTTTCTGACTGAGTGCAGGCGACACTTTAAACTCTGATTTGGTTGGATGGTGTGGTGGTATGTTATTTGAGTCGGTCTCCCAAGTAAGGTACGATTAATTTTTTAGCATAAGATTTTAATTGCATATGCAGCTATCTAGCTATGACACAATATCAGAGACGTGTATAATAGATAACTCAATTTAAAAGAAGAGCACTCGTACCTCGGATTTCATTTCCAAGTACCACTGCGAAGTTATGGCGGCTTTCTCTTCACCCCAAGTCAACCCTCATCCGTGAATACTCACTCAAGGGAACGTCTCAAAACCCCCGATTTATCCAGACATGCCTCCGTCATCCATCAAATTTTCTTCACGCGAAATGTAATCTGAGATATCTCCTTCCCAAGTGGAGTAGGTGCCCAGGCTACTCAAACTATACCAGAGAACACCACCAAAAGGCGGACCACAATACCTTCCATCGTTGACTTGTGTTTATAGTCTACGAACCTTAGAGTGCCGGCAAAGACATATTATTCGCCTCCTAGCGGTGCCAGTGTAAACACTTGATGTGCACTAAATTTCTAGGATAGCCAAGAATCGCATTCAGATCCAAGTCAAAGTCAAGGCCTAAATAGCTAATTCACAATGAAAGACTTTTCGCTATCTCTGACTGCTATCAACGAGACTCAACTCTAACCCTTCAAAGCCTCGATGTACTCTACCGTTCCGATCTATCAACATTTCCTGATGCTGGGTCTCTCAAAGCTACAAAGATTCTTTGTGACCAATTCTCGGTCTATAGACTCACGAAGATGTGGATACCCAGACGGTAGAAGTTAAGTCGTGAGGCATAAGGCAAGAAGCCATCACTGGATGGAATGATTTTGGGCATTAAAAGTTTCAGAAGACTTATGGGATAGTAGAGGGAAAGGCATAATGGAAGATGGACGAGTCAAGCTTAAAGTGATATTTTAAATTCTGCAACTTCTTGTATGCGCCGATACTCCGCTCAGCCAGATAGTGCAGCCGACACTAAAAGAACATGCCAGCCATTGAATTTGCTATGGTCTGCCTCCTGGTGGTGATCTTCGTCAAAGTTTAAGCAGCCTGGTCATATACTCGTTTTACTTGGCCGATGTTATGGGAGTTATTGAGGAATAAGTCATCAAGCTTTGGGGGACTAATCTCAATACTTGCCAGTGATGTCACCTACGAGCCTCCAGCTCTCATTGTAAAGTTTGTAGAGCCGAGATCGAGTAAAACTTGTCCCCAGTTTGATGAGGATTCCTAATCGCTTTCGCGGTCTCCATTGTCTTTATCTTTCAGCACAATCCCTAGCGCAGTTATCATGAAGCTGAATCGAACCAAGATCAAATTAAATGGCAGGATTGAAGCCCTACTCATCATCCACCCACTTCTCTTGGTCATGGAATAGAAACCATCCGATGAATCTGCGGAGCGAACTCAGCACCCGATACGGCATTGGTAGATTGGATGAGATTGGCCTCTAGTGTCACATAGAAGGAAAATGTAGGTGGATATGCGCACTTGGTGTGGCTTTGACGTCTAGGCCTCGCCTGGCTGGGGCTGCGGGTTTTTTGAGACTTTTGCCCGTGCAAGAAGTTTCCATTGCTACCTTTTTTATTGGTAGAAGGTTTAGTGGAAAGGGTGGCTGAATGCCACAGGTAAATTCTGAGTTGAATGAATTTTCATGACGGGCAATATATCAATGATCTTTGAAGTAACTAAGGAGAATACGAGCACTGTGCGAGGTGACCTGAGTCGGAGGGAGTCTAATGTGCTAGATAGTCATAGACTCAAGTAGTACAATGAACAAAACATACAGGAGTATTTCGACTGTACCCTGAGTGCGTGCGGAAGTTACAGGGTGATAAATAACTACTCAAATCTTAGATTATAAACATGAACCCTAGAATTTGGAATGCTTGGGTAGGCCCCGTAAATAGTTTACTCGGGAAAAATACTCCAGGAAAAATCGAGGTTAGGAGAACGCAGTTTATTCGAATATAAAAGTTGAATTGGTTTTAGCCTGTTTAGAGATCTTTTATTGATAGTATATATTTGGGTTCACTTGTTTGTTCATTCGTTGGGTATCAGCAGGTCGGATCCTGGACCAAATACTTGCCAATGCCAATGCCACTGCTCTCGATCGCCATCTCGACGGGGGCCAAGAACTAATTCCCTAATAATGTCTAGGCCTCAGTCCGGTGAGAATCTCTCATTCACAGGTTTGTACAGTTCAACACTAACAGGTGTTCATCATTTATCTCTACCATTAAAGGAATTGTTTATTGTTGTTCCACCCCTGTGATCCACACTTTAATAAGCCTCACAGTTACGCGCTAGCGCTGCGTAAGTCGCGTCTGATTCGTCTGATTTTCATCGCGTCGAACATATGGTAAATCATCACATCAAAGATACTCAAAGCCTTCACGGTTGCCAGAAATATCAATTGCCGCAACTGAAACACTAATGCGCCCAAATTCTTCATGGCTATTGCAGTAACTAACTCTCAAGACACCCTTAGCGCGCCGGCCATTGACCCCCCAGCTGAACCTACCAGACAGCGTAGGTCTACACGCAATGTGAGGCCACCTCAAAAATATGCACCAATACCTACACCTACGGTAGTGGAACCCGCAACTTCAAAACGAAAAAGAAGCGAGGCGGAACTTGAAAGTGCATCTTCTGACTCAGATGGAGAAATTGATGCGTCAGATTCAAGCGCAGATGAGGGGAAGAAAGGGCACCATGGCAAAAGAAAACGAGTTAAGAAATCTACATCAAAGAAGCCCAAACTTAGCCATCAAACAAGTCGAAGTGAGCACAAAACAACCACATTGCCCAGCCGGTTGAAGAAAAATATAAGTCGAAGGGTCGCAATTGCTGACAAAGATGCCGGGGGATTATACGGTATTTGTACAAATTACTAATATTCTTAACTAAACTAATGAGTTCCAAGCCGATATTTTTATTAGCGGGGAAACATCAAAAAATGTCGCATTGCAATGGCTCCGACGATACCACGAAGACGGGCGTATAGCATTGACTGACTTAGTCAATTTGGTGCTCAGGTCGTCAGGCTGCAATATTCAGGTTACCGTAGATGATATCGATGATGTTGACAATATAGATGGAAGAATTGCAGATGTTCAAAACGACTTTCAAGAAGTATGTTGCCTACTCGTTCACAAACATGCAGTCTAGCTGATGGAAATTCAGCAAAATATCACAGAGTACCCTCTCATCTCAAGATCAAAGGGCAGCCACAATTTTCGCTCAAACCTAATGGGATTTTTTGATCAATTGATTGTAGCAATGCATGAAAGCAAAGTTCTTTATGAAGAGACCGTGTTACTTGAAAACATTCACCAATGGATTGCCACTTTATCATCTTCTACTACTCGACCGTTTCGACACACAGCTACATTAGTCGCACTCACCATGACTACCTCTCGTTGCCGAATAGCACGCGCCGAAATTGAGATAGCTGCCAAAGTTCAGCGTCAGTTAGAAAACGAGGCAAAAAATAAACGTCCAAATAAAGCTAGGCTAGCAGATTTTCAAAGAAGAGTCGATAGTAATAAAGAAAGGAAATCCATCATTGAAGTACAGATTCAAGATTATTTTGACACTGTCTACGTGCATCGCTATCGCGATATAGATCCCAAGATAAGAACTGAATGCATTGAAGCATTGGGGACTTGGATCGTACTCTTAGAGAGTTATTTTTTCGATGGCCAGTATCTTCGGTATATAGGATGGATGCTTTCTGATGTGCATGGTCCTATGCGACAAGAGGTTGTTCTGCAATTGCAAAAAATCATGAAAACAGTAAATCATGGAGGTATTCGTCACTTTATTGATAGATTTCGGCCTCGCCTCATTGAAATGGCGGTGCGTGACTCGGAGTCTGGAGTCAGGGCACACACTGTTGAATTATTAACCATGGTTCGTAACGCTGAGATGCTCGAACCAGACGACTTGGATGTCATAGGAAAGCTTATTTACGATATCGAGCCTCGCGTCCGAAAAGCTGTTGTTAATTTTTTCCTATCAAATATTAATGATTTATATGATACACGACTACAAGAAATTTATGGTGATGACGGACTAGATATCTTCAGTGTTTCTGATGACGAGGACTTTGAGACTCCTAGGCCATCATGGGTTAAATACAAGACTCTAGCCGAATTCTTAGTTGACTATGATAGCCAAGACCAGTCGGAGGCTCCCAGTCAAATAGCCTCCGCCGAGTTTTTGAGTACTACTAGTTATGAATCACGTTTTACGCTCGCCGCTCAGGCAATATTTGATAAGATGCCAGAGCTTAAAGAGTGGGAAGCTCTCGCTGGATACTTATTGTACGACCACACTACAACTTCAAGCTCACCTGATAATGAAACAGAAAACTTATTCAGACAAGCAGTAAAACCTACTGAGGGCGAGGAAATAGTGCTATTAGAAGCTCTGAACACAGCAGTGAAACTTGGACTTCAACAGATTGAAGACTCAGCAAAAGGAGAACGAAAGAAGCAAAGTAAATTCGGGATAGCTGAGGCTAAAGAAGCTGCTGCTCATCGCCTAGCTTGCATAATTACTCGTCTCTTGAAGAAGTATAGTGCTGACCCTCAAATAGTTTCTATCGTTCTTCGTTTGGCACATCCACTAAAACTCGAGGGGTTCCATGAATTCCGACAAAATACATTGGTGTGTTCAAGACTTCTTGATGAAATCTGTACTCAGTTTAGAAGTCATGCCGATAAGGAGGTCTTGAAGCAGGCTAGTCTTGCACTTCTACAAGCTCGTTCACATGAAGAACTTGAGGATATAACTAATGTCAAGATTCGATCTTTATGGGAAGAGAGTGTAGATATGCTTTACAAGATAAATGATGCCGCGGAGATATCAGTCCGTGGTGGCTCCCTAAGTGAGAATCTTCTCACAGAACTTTCACAGACCCTCGCACGACTTGAGCAGCTCTCAAGCATATCAAGCTCTATAGAATTTATGGAGGGCGATCCTGGAAAGGGGAAGCAACCTCCAATAACCTTAATTTTTGATGTTATTGCGCGAGGCGAACTTACTGAGGGATGTGATGTAGCTTTTGATCTTCTTGAAGATACCGCTGTGCAATCCGCAACTCGCTCGGCCCTATTTTACTTTATGTGGAAAACTCGAGACATGGCGCTCTTGATAGCCGACTCGCGAGAAATCTCCGAAGCTGAACTTGAACTGCTCAAGGAACGTCAGGAGGTCTTCTCTGCAAACCTCATCGCATCCTTTTCATCACGTGCAGATCTAGATGATGTTCGATTGCTTGGGGCTGGCACATTATTAGACCTTTTTGTCTTATTTGTGGCCTCCTTTGAACCTGCGAATAAATCAATCGACAATCAAGCTGCAGAAAACTCTAATGCCAACCTTAAAGATAAATTACATACTCTAGTTACAGAAATACGAGAGGATGTTCAAGAAGAACTAACGTTGTTATTCACCGAGCTAGAAAGGCATTTTGCAAAGAAAACGAAAAAGAAACTGAATGCGCCGGGCGACAATGAGGCACCCGAGGATCTTGATTCCGATGATGAAGATGATGCGGATGCGCTGAATGAGAGCGAAATATATGCTGAAGCGCTCACTGCAGAGGAGCAACTTTGTCAATTCTCTGGAAAGATAGTCCTCGCCTTATTAGCGCAAGTGATTGATACATCAGGTCCATCAAAAGGAAAACTTCGCTCCCGACTTCTACGAAATAGAAATCTCCTTGGTCCAAACTTTAAAGAAGTTGTCAGTTGTCTTGATGATCCAAAGTCGAAAGCAAAGAAAACGACCCGCAGTAAGGATATCCAGGATGCTAAAATTCAAAAGAAGCCAGCTAAGAGTGCCGAGCTAGTCGAGTTTGAAGATGGTGATAGCGAAGAAGACGATGATCCTTTTGCTGAGAACGCAGTAGAAAACGACCAGGATGACCATGAAGAGCCAGAGGAGCACCAAGAAGAGAGTGAGAACGAGATCTCTGATACTACGGCAAAAATAAACCCCCTAAGCGAAGCAGATGAAGAAATAATTGGCGATTGATTAGCTTTGATGATACATTTTCTAAAAGTTCCAGTAGATCTTCCTCAGATACCTTATACCCATTCCAACATCCAAGGAGACTATTATGTAGAAGCATGCGGGCAAGGCGTCAAGTTATAGAATTGAAAAAGTTTGTTGTAAATGTCACCAATTCAACACTAATACGATCACTTTACACAGCTTAATTGCCGGCGGTACTTGCGCATAAAGGTACATTTCTCCAATTTTTTATAAAATGAAGTGAATAATGAGAGGCTTACTATAAATTACTCCAGCATTCATTCGACCCATTTTCAAAAAAATGTCCTGGGAATGATGCATGAGGTGGAGACAACGCCTTCTAACTACAAAGAGCCAGTAGATGTCAATGAGGACTTGGAAATGAGGTATAGAGACTACTCTATAATGACTTCATGTTCCAATTTTATCGATCCTTCTTTGCTACGCGAGTCAAGCTAATTAATGAAACTTTCAGCCCATTTCACTATTTGCTTATTCCCCCCAGAATTCATGGAAAACTGTACATTATGATTGTCCTGAGCTATCGCCTCTAATAATTGATACGCGAACCTTGATGTAATTTTAAATGTTTTTCAATTGCAAAGTCATTGAGACTTTTCCGAAAACATGTTGGAATAAAATAACAATTGTTATATTAATGAAGACTTAATTCAACAACAATGTACTATTCCTATCTTATATACATAATTCGTAATCCACGAGTAATCCAGCCATGAAGAGCTAATACCAGTGGCCTTACAAACATCCTAAACGAAGCGAGTGGTCTATCATCCTGCCTCTTCTGTAATACTGGAAGGGTCAATGGAAAGTGACCCAGATCTTCCTCAAGATTACATAGCAGACAGATTTCTGGCCCAACTGGTAACCACAAACAGTCAGATAAACATGTGACTCCTAAATTATTTACTTTATAATAATCTTGTATACTCTAGGTCTCAATAAAACACACTTACTCCATCATTATTAGCAGAAATGTGAATGGAAATGAATTTTGCTACAGTCATAAGCTATCGCTTACCTGACGCGAGTCCCGTGACGGCTTTATATACATCCCAGAGCTTCATGATTGTCAATATCCTTCTTCTTTGATAATTTCAGACCCTAGATCCGGCATTATCACTCTGGTTACCCTTCTGTTCATTATTGCTCACCTCTGTTACAAGAAAATACCTGCCATCGTTCATTTTACCGCTCAATTCGCTTAGGGCAGAACGTTTTAATATAGACTATGATTACTTGAGACATCAGAATTATTCGACTTGGAGCAAAACCCATGGCAACTATTATTCTCGCTCATAATCTAGAGATCCATATAAATTATTTTCATATATAATCGCGATATTATGGTCAGAATAACATCGCAAGCTGGTAACCGACTCACTTGGCAGCTGCCTCACGAAGACCTTGGCGTTTTGAATAATCTTCAACCAATAAATACTGGGCTTCTTCGTATTAGTTATGTTGGACTAGTATAGGCTCGATCTACCATGTTAGCCTGGCTATGATGTGTTCGGAGATATCTTCGTAGTTTTAGAGTGTCATTCCTAGGCATTATCATCCCTCGTTAGAGTTGGATTTATGTAAGCGAGAATATATTTGAGAAGAGAGGAATAAGGAATGGGACCGAAATTTACATCTTTTTATACACACCTCAATTGTAAGCTCCAATGCGATCTACTCTTCCAGAGACCTCCACTCTTAATCACTGAAGCTTCCGAATGTGACGGAAACCAAATCGGTGATGAATAAATCGATTTATTGAACTATTTGAGGAGAAATGAGAACTCTAGCTACTTCTAACAGGTATTCATAAGAGTTGATCCACCTCGTGAATCTTCAGACTAGTTTTGTTTTTGTTTTGTTCAGTAACGTGCTAGGTATAGTGACTACCGCAGCACTCCTACTGGAGCTTAAGCACGGGTGGAGCCGGGCTGGATCAGGTTAACTACCATTAGTTCATCTACCTCGCCCCACCTAAATGACCGGACCACCTCAGACTTCACCCATGTGTTGAATCATGTCAAGCCCAACTGTCCAGAGAACCCCCTTTTGGCGCGCCGAAGCGCAAATTCCTCCTCAGCCTCGGCCACCACGCGCCCGAGCCCTTGACATCCTCATTGACTCCGAAATATAAATGCCGTCCACGATTTCATCGTTGCTCTAGCCTTGTACCTTCATATCGTACCTTCGGGTTGTTGTCGTCATTGGGGATTTATGTAATCCCCTCGGTGTATCTTCCCTTTTCTTCCTCCTTCGCACACGTCCTGTTTCCATCATGACTTTCCTCATTAAGGCGTATGTAGTTAGGTGACGTGACGAGTATAGAGGTGGGTCGCAGGTGTGAGATCGGCTGAGATATGGATAGTCGCAAATATATAAGGAGTTTGAGAGATGTCGGATGTTTGAATGCGACTCCCAGATAGACCTATGCCCATTCGTAAATCGTATGTTGGCGGTGATGAGTTTTTGTTCGACTTTGTTCCAGCTGTGAAATCTCTGCCGACTGATTTTTCGACCAAAATATCTAGTGCAACTCCTTCAAGTCGAAAATCCATCAAATAAAATTCATCTCACCCTTTTTCGTGACTGAATCTCGGCTCTGGGAGAGTATTTCACTCCCAGGTTCGTAGAGGACACCACTGACAGGTGTTCAGCCTTCGTCCTCCAATCTTCAGACTAGGGACTTGTCCTTAGGCACAATACTTCTTACCCAGCCACGTATTTTCAGGTGTCGCTAAGTTGTAATAACGCTTCAGCCTTCTGACTAGTAGTGCCGTTTCGTTCAGCTTCATCTACCCCCCATGCAGCCTTATCGTAAGAATTCTCAATATTAGGCTTAGGTATTGGCCTAAGCTCAAACAACGGTCAAACTGTAACACCGAACTAGCTCAAATGTTTGATAGGAATTGTAGTGCTTCATTATTGTATCAATATAACTTCATTCCACATAGTTCCTTCTCTTCTACTCTCCTTATATGTAGCCAACGTTTAAAATAGATGTGGCAAGTTGTAGAGAAATCCAAAAATTTGCTTGTACCTCTTCAAGCCAAAGAAGTGTGGTCGTTGACCCGCTGACATGGCGTTGCAATACATCGGCTTTTCTACCAAGGATTTTCCCCAGCTTACTCTCTTCGAAAACATGTCCTATTCAGGTCGTCTTGCCGGAAATATACTGCATAATTGCTACGATTAAACGGTGCTCGAGAGCAAACACCGTTGTCACAATCAAGCGTGTAATGAGAGCCTGGATGTAGCAGAATGCGGAGACTGAGGTTTGAAGACTCTCGCGCGCATACTAGATACTTCTTAGCGGGACATCTGCTAGATGGGAAATCGGCAGGATTCACAAGCAAGTCGCATGTGTGATTCCAAGACATCGCAAAGGTTCCGCATGAATTAGCCATTGTGCTTTCATTCGGGGGGGAAAGTGGTAATTCCGTCTCTTGATCATGTCAACAAGAAGTATCTCCCAATGTAAAGATCAACGAGAACTCTTCCGAAATCATGGTAGGGTTCGAGAAGGAGAATTATCGATGTGAGGTTAGAGACTCGGCCTCTCACATAGGTGAATACGATTTCCTCTCTTTTCGTTGTACGCTCGAATGCGGTATATCTGACTCTATGTGAAGAAAGTGAACGCACACTCATTCCAAGTGTAGCCATGCCTCCACTCTTTCTATCGTGACCCTACACACTGGTGAATAAAGAGGCTAGGTCAATCCCAGTTGGGCTCATATGCAGGACTTCTACGCGGAGCTGGCTGAGTCTTGGCCTAGACGCGAATCACCTGAACTGTCAATCTTCTAACTGTCCGGATTTCTGCAGCAGACTCCTATCAACCCCTGCCTTGGCCCTGGCTCCTCGGGGCATCTCGCCAGAGTCATCCGATGACGCCATTGACCCACAATGGTCTTTGGCTTGTTGAGATAGGTCAGTCAGACTGGGATAAGAGGTAGACTTTCAGCAGTAAACGCCCTCGACTTGTGCTTGGCTTCCCATGTTCGAGGTATTCATATCACTAGATACAGCTCTTTGAACAAACCGAGCGGGCACTATCTGTTGAGATCCAACGCAGGAAATTGGGCGAGACTGACTCCCACTCGGAAACTCGGCTGAAGTCTATGGTGCTCGCATTGCTCGGACCACAGATGATCCTGTTGCGACTCACCACAACGCACTGGCCTGATATGCCACTAAACTCGCAATTTTATTCGACCCCCATGAAAGTGTTCTCTGGAGAGAGAGAGAGGTGTGTTTATTGTATTATTTGAATCTTAGAGTATCTTGCAAATTGGGCTCTTTTCTGGCTCAGGCCACACCTCCTACTGTGCTCGTATCCTCCTTTGTTACTCCAAAGATCATGGATATATTGCCCATGATGAATAAAGATTCAGCTCGGTATTTACCCGTCGAATTCAGCCACCCTTTTCACCGAGCCTTCTACCAAAAAAAGGGGCGAAGGCTGCGTGCGCAGGAAAAAGTATCAAAATTTTGAAGGCCCAGCCAGGCGAGGCCCAGACACTGCCATGGTTGGATGGTGCGGTGGTACATCGTCTGAGCCGGTCAGCGTTGTCAACTCTGGAAAGCTTTTTTTTCCATAGTGTATTCAGCTATCTAACTATGACACACTATTCACATAAATTACATCCCACAAACTCCTTGCATATAATCTACTTAATCACTTGTTAATTTCCAATTGGTGTTTCCTATTTTAATATCCTCCGTGTGTCTGGATAGCTTTTGACGCCCATCCCACCCGAGACAGGAGATTTCTGGTTTAAATCCGGCAAAACTGAACTACATTTCTCACGGTGCCTGTGTTCATGAACGACAAAATTATGCGTGGATAGTCAAAGCTTTTGAAACGTCCCTTTAGCGGGCACTTATGGAGGAGAGTCGACTGTTTGTGTAAGCAATCGTATCTCACATCGGTATTTACGAATCAAATCCGGGGCATGAGTGTTTCTAATGTCAAAAGTCATCCAACAAGTAAACATAACACCGATCATGTACTGTAGCTAGATTACTGAATGCACATGAATTGTAAAGAACTTCGTAGGTCTTACAGGATGGAAATCTCATGTCGTATGGGTCACCCACTGGTTAACTTTTAAGCTTCGATTGCATTCAGCAAGCTTGAAACAATCAAAAATTGTCGTTAGATCATAATTTCTACAACCTCGAAAAGAATTACTGACCTTGCAGAACAACCGACCACCAACTCTCTAGAGAAACTTCATTATTCTCACGTAAAACAAGAATTTTCAATCCATGAATTATCTCATTATTTACAAACATTATACGCAGCTGAATTTGTATTAATCTTAATAACCTTTAATGAGCTAAATTAAATAAATCTAGATTCATTACTTTGTTCCATGCGGCTATAAAGTCTTTGATCAATTTTTCATTGCCATCAGCGCTGCCATACACCTCTGCAATGGCACGCAATTCAGCCTGAGAGCCAAAGACCAAGTCGGCCCGAGATCCAATCCATTTCTTTTCGTCCGTTCTTCTGTCAATTCCTTCAAAAAACTCATCGTCGTCTATTCCTTTCCATGATATTGCGGGATCGAGAAGGTTCACAAAAAAGTCATTTGTTAGCTGGCCCGGGCGCTTAGTAAAAACTCCACATGAGGATCCATCAAAATTTGTATCAAGAACACGGAGACCACCAACTAGAGCTGTCAGCTCAGGTGGGGTGAGTGTCAAAAGCTGTGCTCTATCAACAAGCAAGTGTTCCGCCCGAGCCCGGGGAGTAGATCTACCGAAATTACGGAATCCATCGGCGACTGGCTCTAAGTCTGAGAATGAATTGATATCAGTTTGTTCTTGGGAAGCATCTGCTCGACCAGGAATAAACGGCACTGAAACCCCAGCCGCCTTCTCTAAGGCTGTACATCCGGCTAATATGATCAGATCAGCTAGGGAAACTTTCTTTCCCCCGGCCTGGTTACTATTGAAGGAACTTTGAATTTTCTCCAGCGTTTCTAGAACAAGTTTTAACTGAGGTGGGTTATTAACCTTCCAGTTTTTCTGGGGAGCTAGACGAATACGGGCACCATTAGCACCACCACGTTTATCGCCGCCACGGAAAGTGGAGGCAGATGCCCAAGCAGTTTGGATTAATTTGTTGGGGCCCACACCACTAGAGAGAATCTCTTTTTTCAAGTTGTTGATGTCTTCCTGGCTAATTATGGGATGATCAATCTCCGGAATAGGATCTTCCCAAATTAGTTTCTCCTCGGGAATTTCTGGGCCAAGCCAGCGAGATCGTGGCCCCATGTCGCGATGCAAAAGCTTGAACCAGGCACGGGCAAAAGCGTCGGCGAATTGATCTGGATTCTCTAGGAAACGAAGTGAGATCTTCTCGTACTCCTTATCATATCTAAGGGCAAGGTCAGTCGTCAACATTCTTGGGGGATGCTTCTTGTTTGGATCAAAAGCATCTGGTATAAAGGCTTCTGCATTTTTTGCTGTCCATTGGTTTGCTCCCCCTGGACTCTTTGTCAGTTCCCAGTCGTATTTGAAGAGGTATTCCAAGTAATAATTGCTCCAATTAATAGGAGTTTTGGTCCAGATGACTTCAAGACCACTCGTAATGGCGTCCGGACCTTTTCCAGAGCGATAGCTATTAGCCCACCCGAGACCTTGTGCTTCTATCGGAGCTCCCTCGGGTTCCTTTCCGAGATGCGTACCAGGAGCGGCACCATGAGTCTTTCCAAAAGTGTGTCCACCGGCAATAAGAGCGACAGTCTCTTCATCATTCATAGCCATGCGGCCAAAGGTAGTGCGGATATCTCTAGCTGACGCTACAGGGTCTGGGATACCATCGGGTCCCTCAGGATTCACGTAAATCAGTCCCATGTGAACAGCACCTAGAGGGTTTTCTAATTGACGAGTATAGATATCCTTAGGGTCTTTTGAATCATTCTTATATCGAGCATCGTTACCCAGCCATTTTGTTTCGTTTCCCCAGAATGTAGCATCATCTGCCTCCCAGGTATCAGGACGCCCACATGCAAATCCAAAGGTCTTGCCACCCATTGACTCAATCGCAACATTACCAGTTAATAGGTATAGATCAGCCCAAGAGATTTTGTTGCCGTATTTCTGTTTAATTGGCCAAAGGAGTCTACGGGCTTTATCCAGATTAGTGTTATCAGGCCAACTGTTTAATGGAGCGAACCGATGCTGTCCTTGTCCACCACCACCTCGGCCATCAGTCGAACGATAGGTTCCAGCGCTGTGCCAAGCCATCCGCACAAACAACCCTCCGTAATGCCCAAAGTCTGCGGGCCACCAATTCTGAGAGTCTGTCATCAATTCTGTTAAGTCTTTTTTCAGACCTTCATAGTCTAAGGTCTTAAATGCGCTAGCATAATCGAAATCTTTGCCTAGAGGATTGGATTCTGCTGAATGTTGTCTAAGTGCATCTAGCTTTAGAGCCTCGGGCCACCAGTCCTTGTTGTGGGTGCCACCACCAGCAACATTTGCGTCTCTGTAGGGGCATTTACTGTCACCCATGTTCCTGATTTGGGTGAATTGAATTAGAGATAGGGTTTTTGGTTGAGATTTCAAAGCTTTCGTGCGACTTAGCGGAGTTGTAAGTCTCTGCCTGAGAGAAAATGGAGGAGGGTGCTTTAATACACCAAGTGTGTGCGTAGATTTAGTAAGCAGATGCCTTGTCATGACCAACATTTAGAATCTAGGATAATGCGTAGCTTAGTATCAAGTGTATCCTGATTTGGCAGCCTACGGTTGTAGCGTTTGAAATAAGGTCTTGCGTGTTGTCATTGAATCATCTGACCAAACCCTAGCTAGGGCCCGGGGTCAGGAAACGATCGAGCTTGTAGCAGAACCTGAGCCGCGCATATCTGGATTACGCTTGAAAATCGGTAGATCAGCTGGTTGCCGTCAAATGCATAAGGTGAGATTTGGTCGAAGAAGAATGAGAGGTATTGAAGACGTGAACTTCCTCTACATATTTAAGTCGCTAACAATTGAGCTGGCTTTTCACCACTGTAGCTCTTTGTTGAAATTGATAGATAGCACTGTAACAGCATCCACATCTTACTGGCAAATTCTTGATAGCATGAGTTTACTTTGGTAATTGACATGTAACCAATTAAATTGCCGACTTTAGCTTACCTAGCATCTGATTGGTCAGTTGCTAAATGCTTACCAGTATCCATGCGTCATCAAATGTTCAAAGCGTACGCCATGACTTGACTACTCAAACCATAGTCTATGGCAAGCGAATTTGACATATCATTACCACTCATTATCTGATCTACGCGGCCTATGACGATCATTACTTTCAGATTCTGACCGACTTTATGAATGGTTGAGACACGTCAGTACCACGAAGAATCTAGCCTATCTTGAGTAGGCCATGAAGTAGAATACCGCCTATTCGAAAAAATAATTTGACAGTTTTTATGATATGCAGAACCACATCATGTAGTGTTGTTTGGTCTCTCGAACATGTCTTTTGAAGGCCAGTGCCGTCGCATTTTTTTTTTTTTTTTTTTTTTTTTTGCATCAGATTTTAATTGCGTATGCAGCTATCTAGCTATGACACAATATCAAAGAAAAGTACAGAAAAGATGATTCAACGTAAAGGAAGAGCACTCATGCCTCAGATTTCATTTGCAAGTACCACTGCGAAGTTATGGCGGCTTTTTCTTCACCCCAAGTCAACCCTCATCCGTGAATACCCAGCCGTCGCATTTTTGACGGTTGTGGTTGACGGATGAGATTTCACGGTCGCAACGTGACAAGTTAGAGAGACTTTGACATTTGTCGATCTCCGCACCGTTTTCCTTTGAGGCTTAATTCCATAAAATGGTCTATCTTTTGGGTCAAGTTGAGAAGTTTTGTGAGGGAAGCTTGTAAATTTGAAATGTGGTAAAGATGATGACAAGATTGCTGAATCTCCCAATTTACTATGCTAGACTCTCTGGTTGAAATCCTGCTAAGTTGGCAAGACTCATCAATATGGATGAGTTATTGGTGTAATCGTAATTGTAACTCGGGCCAATGCAACCCTGAGCTTGTTCAAATTCCCATAACGAATGTCATGGGTACCTATAGTTATGGTAGACGCACCCTCATCAGCCTTAATCTCGATTTCATAAATGACTGTCCGCATAACTCTCGGTTGTCGGGCGCAGGATGATCCTAGCTTGCGTGGATTATGAAAGGATGTAAATTTTCATTTGAGTGATTGGCCACAGCCAAGGTCGTGTTGAAGGAGGTCAACTTTTAAACTCCGTAAAGAGGATCGGGATTAGTTTTTATTCGTGTTACTTGAGTCAATGACGGTCCAGTCAATAACCCCCTTCCCGACCTATGCCACACCTTACAAAGGAGGGTAAAGACTGGACACCTGCCGCAGTGTTTTCTACGAACCTGGGAGTGAGATATTCTCGCAGAGTCAATCTCAGTCAAATTTTGCGATACCAAAGAAATTGGCCCACGAGGCAACGATTCAAACATTCACTCCCAACGAGTTTGACTCCTGCCTAAGTCTCATCAAGTCTACAAGTACGACCTAGTACATCCTCATTCCCGTGGACACACTTCTCGTTTACTTTCTCTGGCCTCAGCCGGTCGCCAAATACACGCCCACGCCGATATTCACACCCGACGGAAGCAAAGCGTGGCGCACAAATCCGGGAGACAGTTCTTTTGGATGGACGTGAGAAGGACCAGGATAAGTTGATAAGATGATGTAGAGGATGGATACAATCTCGACGGGCGTGTAATTTTGAATTTTGGCCAGGAGTTTTTACAAATTGAGCTTTGAGCGTGCCAAGACTTCGGTTGCGAGAGTGCAGGCGACACTATAAACACCGCCATAGTTGGATGGTGCGGTGGTACATCGTCTTAGTCGGTGTGCCAAGTAGAGTCTGGATAGCTTAGACACATATCCCACTCGAGACAGGAGATGGCTGCTTCAAATCAGGCACAACACAACCACATTTCTCGCGGCGCTGGTATGCATGGATGACGAAGACATGCTTGGATGACCTAAGGTTTTGATACGTCCTTTTGGTGGGTACTTACGGAGGAGAATCGACTGTTTGTGTAAGCAATCATACCTCACATCGGTATTTACGAATCAAATCCGGGGCATGAGTGTTTCTTATGTCAAAAGTCATCCAACAAGTAGACATAGCACCGATCATGTATCGTAGCTAGATTGCTGAATACACATTAAATGATTTAATGATTTAAAATAAAAGATCTCCACTCTTCCCTAGATCCCTGACTGCCCCGATATCTGCTCAAATTCCATTGACTCAAGATTTTAGTAGTCATTCACAAATTTATTGACTATTCTCTGGAATGGCCACGAACTGCCGTTACGCAGGGCCTGAAAAGCTTCAAATTTATCTAGGATCACTTTGATTCGGGTTATGCCTGCTACCAGCCTTGCTACTTCAAGGGATTCGTGGGCTCCTGATCATCATCGACTATATGGCTTGACGATAATTGTACATTTCCAGCATCTGCTGACCTCTTCCTGCACTCTCATTCGCCAAGCTAGTAACGAAAGATTCTTGGCGTTGGGAAGGCTGTATGCCCTGTTTGCCCTGTTTGCTGAGTTCCGAGTGCGGCCGCCTCGGTTCTGGGGCCCATATGAGAGTATAAGTGAAGGCTGAATCCACCGCCCTTCTCCTGCCTTCATACTTACCTTCTTGACACCAGAGCGATCATCAATGCTCCTGGTGGCGACTCTAAACCCTCATTGCACAGCGAGGAGTCGGAAGTCGTTGACTTTCCTTCGGGGACGTCATCGGGGGAATTTTTGATTGCCCACCTTTTGAAAGGACAAATTTTCATTATGAGACTGCCCAGCAGTCGGTAAAGAAGATGTCGGTTCGGGAAATAGATATTCTAATCAGTAACGTGAGTAACGGTTATATGTTATGTGGTGGCTCTCTGCGCAGTGCCAATAACGACACAATACTGATATTGGATACCGCAAAATGAATGATGCCACTTGGGTGACGCTGTCATTTGGCTACGACAACACAAGGTGAGTCAACTTAGCTGGATCATGCCCGTGTCTGGTAGATGTAAATAGTCAGTATCTTTCGAATACCACATCTGAACCCTCGTGACTACACAACCCACATTAAACCCAGAATATTCAACGTCTATGATTGGCGTTACGCGTCCCGATCGAACTCGGCGGGTTCCAGAAAGAAGTGTTCCCACGTCAACCACTTAACTTAGGGCAATTGATGCGGTGCTAAACGATGCCATTTTCACACGCTTACATTCACTAAAGCATATGTGACTTATTCTACATCACAGGTGTGGGCAACACTATGCATGATTGTAGCCTTATCGTCCACAAGCGCCCAGAATTCAGAAATACTCGAAAATTCAATGTCCCATCATTCACATTGTGACTCATACCTTCTGCAGTCTCATTCTCCAACTGTCTATCTCTCATCAGGCTGTTGTACTCTGTTAGAGCAACAGACATCACACCTCACGACAAGATTCGAGCTATGCACATCATGACTTATTTCCTTCTGGCAGGTACACGTAGCTCCGTAATTTGATCGTGGGAGATGGTCGGTGATCGAGGTGGCTAGCTACCGTATGCAATTAGAGTAACACGTTTGTTGGTCGTTGAGGCAAATTAGTGTATTATAAGATGAAGTTAGAGGACTTGCATGAGAATGACAAGACCGATATGATGAGAAGTCAGCGATTCTATACATGCTTGTATATGCTTTCAACTACGATTCGGATGCGATTCTTCTAGGCTATCCCAGATACGCAGAGCAGGCTGAGCCATTAGACCGGCGTCGCTGGAAGTTGACGATTTCGTATTTACAGACCACAGTCCAGGGTGCTCGGCTGGCAGAGAATAAATGAGATGCTAGACCTGATGTAATTTATGCTAGCTATTACGGGCAGGAGATCCTGTCAGTAGATATCATGGTTTCGCGCTAGAGATTGAGGATTGCAAATCGAACGCAACTTTCGCTCTCATTTTCTCCGTCGCACCCTTATTGGCCTGTCATAGAGAGGCATACATCTCAAGCCCGACCAAACCACCATCACAGAAGCTTATCGTGAAAATGTGCAAGCACTTGATGGACTACAGAATAAGACTAGACGGGTTTTCTCAGGTGCTGACTAAAGTTCAGCACTTCCCTCCCTGCCTAGCCGGCAAAGACGAATTCTTCACCTTCCAGTGGTGCCGGTGTAATCGCTTAGTATGCTCTGCATATCTGGGATAGCCAAGAAGAATCGCATCCAAATCGAAGTCGACAGCACTCGCAAGCACATCTAAAATCGACGACTCATCGTCAATGTCGGACCTATCATTCTCATGCGAGTCCTCCACCTCAATCTTACCACACCACCTCGCCTCAAATACCGATAATGGCGTTACTTGAATCGCAATCGGGCATTCGCCTTATTAAAAACCGGCCATCTCCCACTAGACATTTACGATGCTACGTTTACCCGCGAGGAGGAATTCAAGTCATAATCTACAAAGCTCGGGTCTTGGTCTATGGGGGACCGTTGCTCTAATGGGGCTTCACATCTTGAAGGAGAACAGGCAGCTGGGACGTGGGACGAACGAGTGAAGAGGTCACAAATGGGCATGCTGGGACGCGTATTTTTCGAGTGTCTTCGACTTCAGATTGTCTGTGAATGCAGAAGCA